AAATCTTCCCATCAAACCATAGACATGCTCACGATCGGGGTCATCACAAAGAGATGAACAACAGGTAGGACTCACGGCCAAGGATCAGCAGAAAAGAGAAAACAGCCTACAAGGCTCTCGGCCACAGCCAGGGATGGGGATAGGAGGGCTCACGGTTAGAGCAAAGAATGGCTACCAAGATCCATAACCAAAGGCAGTCTAAAAGACAACAAGTCGGGCTTACAGTTAAGGCAACAAAGGAGCCCAAAAAGAACTAATAAAGCTCACGGCTTAAGGCAGCAAAGAGCAGCTGCTAAAGTCCACATCCAAAGCACAAGGGGGGCTCACAGCCAAAGCCAACAAAAGGACCACCGAAGGCAACTATGCCTCCCTGACTAAATGAAGGGATAACTGAAATAAATATGATTTTCTTTTTGGATGGCAAACTTGATTCATCCACAACTCTCAAGTCAACCCAAGCTTAGTAGGGAAAGTCAAATCAAACTCAAAGATTAACAATGGACCTCACGGGTAAGGAGTCAGAACCAAAGCCCGCAAAGGTAAAATGAGCCAACACAGCCCATCCTAGAGCCAATCCAAGTCCAACAAAGGCCAAACCAAGCAAATCAAGACCAACAACTAGAACTAAACCATGTCTCGCGAAGCTACACCAAGCAAATACAGCCCACGCTAGAGCTAAACCAAGTCTAGCAAGGCCAAACAAAACCAACACATCATCCCATCTAGAGCCAAGCCGAGCCCAGCAAAGGCCAAACCAAGCCCAATCAGGAACCAAACTTAATCAAGAAACATAGCCAAAGCCAAATCCGACCAAAAGCCAAGCTCAATCAAGAAACAGAGCCAAAGCCAAGCTCCCAACAGGAAACAGAATCAAAGCCGAGCTCGACAAAACCAAAACCAACATCAACCATTTTTAAATTCAGGTCTTTATACATATACATATAAAAATGCAGCTCTAGCCATTTCAAACCAAAACCAAAGTCCCAAACCGAGCCAAAACCAAGCCCTCAGACCAAACATTTTAGATAGATTTTCCCATAGCATATATTTCAAACCAAAGAGTGTCACAGGAAGCCAAAACCAAGCCTCCAAACCGAGGAATCACCTGCGTATCTAAATATTCCAGGCATGAGACAATTTCAACAGGTATTTGAACAGAGGTGATGCCGCATGGGGAGCTAAACCAAGCTCTCAAAACAAGATAAAAA